GAGTAAAGTTTTTTATTTTAAAATAATAGATGTTATTTTTTAAAATTGAATATTTAAAAATAATTTTTATTTTTACCTCTATTATTCTTAAAAAAGAAATAAAAAGAATTAGACTTATATCATGATAATAGAGATAATTAAAATAAACAAATAATGAAAGATTAAAGTAGAAAAAGATATTTATCTTCTTTAAAATATGAAAAAAGGACAATTATCTCAAAATAATTTTTAAATCAAAAAATATTTATTATTCTAAAACGAAAAGAATAAAAATTAGATTATTTTAATTTTTTTATAGTATTTTATTGAAACGATAAGTTTATTGTTTTCCCCTTCAATTACATAAGTAAAAATACTGTAATAATTATTATAAGAGATTAATATTTATTAATTGAATTTACAAAAAATTAAGTGAAAAATTACTTTAAAATTATATCGTTTTAATAAAATATCATGAGAAAATATCAAAATAATATCATTTTTTTAAAAAATAAGTTATTTTAATTTTTTAATAAATTTTTTTAAAATAACATAATTTTAAAATATTTTTATGCTTAATTTTTTACATGTTCCCGTTAATAGATATTTTTCTGTTATTATATATAGTATAATATACATATAAAATTATCATCCCTTATAGATAAAGAAGTACTTAAATTAAGTTAATCGGAGTTTCGATTCTCTCCACTCACTTCCAAAATTCCCCCTTCCCCAAAAATTATAGATTGTTCAAAAAAATATTTATATATATATATATGGACTTGGCTTTGATACCACTTACAAGGCAAAACTGAATGAGAAGAACTCTCCATCTATACTTTTTCTACGGTTAAGAGTTCTCAAAGTACATTTACAAAGACTAGCGAAGAAGTATCATTTTTCATTTTTCTTTGATACAACTATATATAGAAGAGTCTTTAATATGACGATACGTTTAAAGATATCATTCAATGCTCCACAGCATCATCAACCCTTTTGGTTTTCCATGCTGCTTAGCAAAGTTGCCAATCACTAACGTTTTAGTGAGAGAGGGAGGGTAAGAAAAAGCAGCAGCTACAGAAACACAAAATGAAAATGCTAACAGGAAGAATACAAGAAAAAATGCCTGGAGGATTTCTCTAGGACAAAGAATGTTGAATCCTATTCTGTTCAAGTTAGTGTTTTGCTTTCAGTTTTACTTGTTCTCTTGCTGCTGCGGCCGCTTGTTGGGCTTTGCAGGTGTTTTTGACTTGGGGTAAGTCACTTGGAATGCTCTGATGACATCCCGTACATCTGGATCGTCTTTAGGAATTTTAGTTCGCATTGCCTCTGCTGACTTGTGATCTCCGCAAGCCAAAAGCGCCTGATACATTCTGCAACAACACACCAGAATAAAATTAAAATCCATCAGAACCAGTGGATCTTCATGACATGCAGGATGAAGGGATCAACTGCCATACCATTGCTTACCTTAGGAAATTGAAAACATTATAAGGAAGGCCAGCAATCTCGTATTCTTTCCAAATCAAAAGAGAGTTTTGCAGGTCTTTTGCCTTAACACAGGCATT